TGGCTAGCATCGATATGATCCAACACAGTGGTATACCACAGTTTGTATCACATGTTGGTGTAAATTCTCAGTTATCCAGGACATGACAAATCTCAAATGTTTTAAAAAAGATGAAGCAACAGGACTTCTGTTCTGTAGCTGAGGACAATCAGACTTTAAAGCTTGAAACAGAACGATGATAGTATCAAAAATATCAATATTTGAATCGATCTGCACACCCTAACCCCATTGACATAAAAAACAGATATAATGTGGCAGGACTGATCAGGCTGAGGTCACTTTGAAAAACATGAGGATGTATCCAATTTAATACGTCATGTAAAAGCAACCTGGGTAGGATTAGCAAAAAATGGATTTATAATATTCTTACTGTAATTAAAAAAACCAACTAATCTGTCATGTATGGCCAGCAAAACTAGATTTGGGCTGCTTTTGCCTGCAGTCTGAACGCAGCCTATGTTTTCCTGTAATAGACATATGACCTGACCCGGGTGTCTCACAATGGACACAGGCAGCAGCTTTCCATAGCATGAATAGAAAATCAGGGGAAGATAATGGATGAATAGATGAGCGTACAGTATGCTGTCATTGGCAACAAACATGAAAGTATTTCTTTATTTTTTTACAGAAAGACTGCAAGGTTTTTATATGTATGAATGACTTACTGGAAAGGTTTTGATAATTTTACTAAATCATTAAATATTTTGAACAGAAACACAGATTTCTTATTTTGCCGTTGTTTTTATATTCATGTTGGATATTTTTCTGTTCATTTGTTGAAATTTAATTAATCCACCTTATAAGGCATTTTAAATGAAGCTGTCAACATGGAGCTCTAAAACATTTAAATGGAATAATTAAAAATAATGACTGAATAATCTGGATTAGTTTGAACAAGCAGCTCCAGATTGCGCATGATGCTATTTTAAAATTTGACCAAAACGGCTTCCATTACTTTTCACCATGAGGCAATTTGACACGGCAGGCGGCGGGCGATATGCATTAATTCAAGGAACGCGAAGCCTTTAATGCTGCTTTATGCAACACTATGACGTTTAAAATGTAAAATTCCGACATTTTATTATCCCCTCTGTCAGGTCTGCTGAGCCCAGTATTGAAGCTCACATGCACGACGTTTGCAGCCAGCAGCTCCTTTAAAAGCTGCCTGCAGACGGAGGAACCCTGAAGGATCTTTACCTACCAGCAGCTTCCAGCACAGCAGCCAAAATGAAATCATCTCCAGGAGCGCGCATTCCTCTCCCCCTGTCCCTGAAGGCAACGCGAGCAGACGGATGTAGTTTGGTGCGAGACACGCGCCTGCAGGTTGACGTCCGCGGCGCGTTCGTGTGAGAGGAAGAGAGACGGTGTATCGAGCGGTACCAGAAGAACTGGAGCAGAAGAGATGAATCTGTATTGGCAGCTTTACTGTATCACCCTCTGAGGGTGTCACTCACTCCCACCCTGCGTCCCACAGTCTAAATATAGATTAAATCCACGCATGGCAACACATTATCTCGGTCTGTAGAAATATAAGTAAAAGACGTCACATACTCTCATAAATAATATTTGCCATTCTGTTTTTAAGTGTGTGATATGCACATTTGTTCACCGTTTTATTTTTGAGTTTTTCCTGTAAAATAGAAAATAATGTTAGAAAGGGCAGAAAATGTGTGGCCTTGTCACATTTAAATAACTATAGTAATCGTTATTGGCGCGTTGTTTTGTACTATTAGTGCTTAATGCATTTCTCAGTTTAATGTATTTCTTAGTTCATATCTTGGATCTTATGACAGTTTTTCTTTACAATTTGTATTTTGTTAGCTGTAACTGGGACCCTGTGTACAAAGTTTCATGTACCACATGTGATGTGAATAACAATAATGGACCTTGAATTCTTGAATTACCCTCAGGGGTTGAAAAAGTTTGGAAACGGGAAATCAGGTATAGGCCTAAGCGAAAATAAATTTACTTTGTAGGGAACAGGAATGGGGCAGCACGGTGGTGCAGTTGGTAGAGCTGCCGCCTCTCAGCGAGCAGGTCACCCAGGTTCAAATCCCAGCCGGGACCACTCTGGGTGGAGTTTTCATCTTCTCTCTGTGCATATGTGGGTTTTCTCCAGGTACTCTACCTGGTTTCCTCCCACAGATCAAAAACATGCATGTTAGGCTGATTGGTAACTAAATTATCTTACATCCTATTACTGTTTTTCTTTTACATCTTATACTTTTGTTTGATGTATCTGGGACCCTGTGTACACAATTTTGATCCACCTCATGTATCACATGTGCGTATGACAAATAAAGAAATTTTGACTTTGATGTTAGGCTGATTGGTAACTCTAAATTGTCCCTAGGTGTGAGAGAGAGAGTGAATGGTTGTCTCTATGTGTCTCTGTGATGGACTGGAGACCTGTCCAGGGTGTCCCCCACCTCTCACACGGCGATGGCTGGACATGGGTACCAGTGACCCCCGCTACCCAAAAAGGAAGAAATGGGTAAAAGATAAAGGATGGATGAAGAGAACAGGAAGTGGCACATTGTACGCTCTGCAGGAAGCAAAAGAGTTGCGATTTTTTTTACAGAAGTCAAATATTAACAATAAAGCTACGCAGGTTTCTGGAGGACACAAGATTTCAAAGTAGTATTGTTATTACAGGAAAGGCTCTAAAATGGTTTCAATCATATTTATCTAATAGCTTCCAGATTTTTCATGGTAATAACAAATCTTCATACACCAGAATTCATCAAGGAGTTCCACTGAGTTCAATGCTTGGACCAATACTCTTCACCTTAAATCTGCTTTCATTCAGTGGTGCTTCCAGAAATGCTTCAAAGGGGGGGGGGGGCATGTAGGGGCCACTGAAAATCCTGGGGTGGCACACCAAAACCCAACGCTAGAACAGAATTTCAAGTGACGTGTTACGTTGTTGAATACAAGTAATTTTAAAGAGACAATTCAGGACTTAGGGTCAGTCACCATCTGATATACAGAACTTCTGATTTTAATTGATTTATTTTTCATAAATTGATAATACTTGCTGAGAAAAAAAACAGCCACTATTTCAAAAAGTAGAAATTGCACAAATACCAAAAGTCATAGTAGAAATGCTTATTATTGTGTGAATGCTTTAAACAGCTACATGGTTTAAAAAAAATCTGTGTTACTAATGTCCAGATTAAAAACAGAAAAAAACAGGACAAATCCAACTTTAATGTGTGTGCCTACATTCCTGGGACCATTTACAAATGGACGTAAATTAAAAAGCATCCGTGTCTTGCACCAAATCCTCATTGTTAAGAACCTGGTTGCACTGTGATGTAACATCAACCAAGAAGTCAGAAAATTCACTTCAAAAGTCCTTTTTGTATTTTGGTGGGCAGGAAATTACCAAGTAGAGAAAAATGACCTAACATTGATATGTTTTGTTCAAAGTTAGAATATAAGGCTGAAGTGGATAACTGTTTACAGTCAATGTTCAATTTAAAGATTGTTGCTAAATCTCTACCACAACCTGAGGACAGCAGAGAAATAATGCACAACAGCCACACAGCAACAGTGCAGACTAAACACTATCTTCAGGTTTCAGTGAAACCAGACCAAAACCCAGAAACCAGAACATGAGGTAAAAAAAAAATGTTAGGAATGAAATTGCCTGATCTGATCCACCAACAGGTGCCAGCCAGGAGTCATCAATGTCCTGAGAGCACCACGATGCAAAGTGGTGGGGAACCAACCCATGTGGTGCAAGGAACACCTTGGGAAAATGAGCTCAACAAGCCTTTAGCATCATAAGTTGTCCACACATTTCTGAACCAGTTTCAATCAGTGTTGGCAATTGATCTAACTTGCATCAACTACAAGCTCAATTTGAACTCGATAAGCACCATGACCACCACCATGTGTAGTTAGCTACTCTGCTGTGGAAAAAAAAAAAAAGAGCATATTTGCACTACCACAACATGCCTTTTTATCTTTTCCTCCAGTGAAATAAAAAGTAGCTGTATACACTAATACATGTACATATTGTTTATTTTATCCTCTAAGTTTATATGTCTGTACGCTGTGAGCACTTAGAACCAAAGTCAAACCAAAATGTATTTATTTTTTATTTAACCAGGCAAATCCCATTGAAATCACAGATCTCTTTTGCAAGGGAGGCCTGGGCCTAAAGGCAGCCTAACATGCATGCTTTGTCTATGGGAGAAAACTGGAGTACCAGGAGAAAACCCACGCAAGCACGAGAAGAACATACACACTCCACAAAGAAAGACCCCAGGTCCAACCGGGGATTGAACCCAGGACCTACTTGCTGTGAGGCAACAGTGCAAACCACTGATCCATTGTGCTGCCATATTTGACATATTATTTACTGCAGCAGAATTTTGTTTTGACCTGACTAATCCAATGGACAGCAAACAAAACCTGAAAATGAAATGTTTTAAATAATTAATAAACTAATGGGATATAATACTCAATGCCACATTCAATAAAATACTGGTTCTGATTTGATGGGAAAATACTGGGCTCTTGGGCTAAATTTTGTTATTTACCAATTTATTTATGGTCTTGTGCCATGCTGGTAGTATCTAAGCATGCCCATACAACTCCTAGCAAAATGGATGGACGGACGGACACACAAAATGTCAGTTCATTGTTCCTACTTGTAGAAAATGAAACAATTGTCTGTCCCAGAAAATATTTCTGAAGTAGTCGTTAACAGTCATGATGATCAGTTACTGAATAAAAAATTAAAAAATGAATGTGCTTATGGTAATTAGTTTGAATTTAATATATATATTGTTTTATCTTTGATTAAAACTGCTTTCAAGAGAGAAAGGAATCACAATGTTGGTAAGAACTTGCAGTATCGTTAAAAATTAGATCTGCGAAAACATCTAAACTGCCTGTTGGTTATATGAAAACTTTCACGTAAAGAGAACCCCAAAGAGAAAGGCTTCAACAATTTCCTGTGGGATAAATAAAGTTTTACCTTATCTTACCTGTTCTGATAGCTGCTCCAGTGAAGTTGTGACTTCCTGTGATTTATTAACGATGACGGCAACAGCTTGCTCTGGATTTAGTACATGGACAACCCTGTCTCCCCTCTCCTTTTTATTTTTCCCTTCTTTTCCATTTATATCCCCCACTCTCTCCCCTTCCTCTCATGCACAAATCTCAGTGCCTGCGGGGTGCATATTGAGTGTGTGGGCAGCAACCAATCAGAAAACAGCAGCTTTGATGCCATTTGCACACACATGTAAAGCTTAATACACACACACACATCAACACACTTATTATGGAATAAGGCAGGCCTACACACACACACACACACACACACACACACACACACACACACACACACACACACACACACACACACAGACAGACACACACACACACACA